GTGGCAGATCTGGCTTTTTATGGCAAGTTAACCAAATAGTTGTATGGATTAAAATGGGGGGAAATGTTAATAATTTCAAACAGTGCCAAAAATTGAGTGCGTAAAGTTATTCCATTGTACTCCACAAAAGTCGAGCTCAAACAACTTCGGCACAAATTCGGCTATTATTTTCTTCTGTTTTCAATAATTTATTCTACTCGTTTGACTTTGATAAACGTTTCGTGTTGATTTAAATTAAGACTGCATGTGGATCAACATCTCTCTCCTCCGTAGAGGATTAAGGTACAAACAGACACAATGATTAATCGGGCCGATTCAGCTTTAATTAAACGATATTTGAAAAAATACGCTGTCAACGTCATCTGATGACGTCAACTGACAACTTTGTCATTAACATTCGGTGTGTATTAAAACGTAGCTTTAGAAGTGCTATTCAAATATGAATGCGCTAGACGGTAATGCCATGGATAATATATTACCGTTTAGCGCATTACAGTAATACAGTCTATGGCATTAATGTTGACATATAGCGCCATTCATATTTGAATAGCCTACGCAGGCTATATTTGAATAGCGGACTATAGCTATACATTTCAATAGCAGACTATAGATTTCATTTTGATTCAGTCCTCGGCTTCGCCTCGGACTTGATAAAATTGCGCGGAGTTGAAATCTAGTCCAGTCCTCATAGTCGGATTGAAATATTACTTCTTAAATCTCTGGCGTAGGAGAAAGGATCAACACTGTATATTTGAGTGATTTATGATTCAAGAACCCTAACCTTTGACCACAAGTTTTTTTTTGTTTTTTTTTCTTATTAACTTTACAATCAAATGACTGATGGTAAGGACAACAGGACGTGAGTCCCTAATGGACCATTCCCCAATTAACCAAAATTTTGATCTCAACAAGTCTAGACAAAATTCCATCATAGCATGAAAAAGTCATATATAGCAATGCAGAAAAAATAGTCAAAATTCCATCATAGCATCACAAAATTAGTAATATTCCAAAGTTTCGTTGCAAAATGTTGTAAAATGCGGATAATATAGCCTTGCGAAGTTTGTAATTTTCAGTCATTTTGTATTACGCACAGAAGTGGTAACCATTTCCCGTTTGTAATCTAAAACTGACTGAAAATTTCGCAAGGCTATATTATCCGCATTTTACAACATTTTGCAACGAAATTTTGGAATATTACTAATTTTGTGATGCTCTTTCAAGCTGTGATGAAATTTTTGTCTAGACTTGTTGATTTCAAAATTTTGGTTAATTGGGGAATGGTCCATTAAGTCCCACCAAAAACTTACATTGCATAGTTACTTATAGGTATTACAAGAATATATATAAACATTAGGACATACAACAATTATAATTACATCTATGGACAACAGTTTGTATGTAAAGAAAGACATTTACTGCATACAGTTTTCCATGTTCTAGGACGGCGTGCATTTTCATAAGTGCTCTCCTGAGGTGGAAAGTGCAGTGAAAAGTGAAAACAGTTATTCTGTTGCCGCTAGTGACCGATAAGTAGCTTGTCCACCTTCAAGGAACTGCATGCCTGTATCCATATTAATTAAGAACTTTCCTGAATGAAAACCCCAACTTAGCACAACTTGCGTGTATTGACTTGATTGATGAAATCTCCCATAATTCTTTACGAGTCTACTCAGTGTACATTTCTTCCATTAACTGGGCGGAGGTAAGGCGTCACCTCCACCCATAACCAGCGGGCCCTGCAGATTATTTATCCACCTAACATGCATATGCCTGTATTCTAAAAGCTCATTCACACTCAAAGAGTGGAGGTTCAATCTGAGC